CAGATGCCCCACCTTGCATCCTTGGCATGCTGCTTAGGCGCCTTTCCAAAGGAAGAAAAGAAAGTTCCTTATATGTATTCCTCAAGCAGAGTCAAGGAGTTAGACACAAGTAGGTGACTTCGGAGATGAGCTCCAGAAACAGAAAGGAATAAGAATATACAGAAAGGAAAGATCCCAGCAAAGGTATGTCACCTAGTAGTTGCCACCCTGGAGAGTTGGGACTTAATCCTTCTGGGGAGCTCAGGGAAAAACATAGTACATGCACCTCCTAGTTATTTCACCTGTGAGGAGAGGGAGCTGTGGTACACCTGCTCCTATCAGTCACTGGTTAAAGGTAGAATTGGGGACACAATTTCTTTGCACTTCTTGCCCACTGGTATCTGCAGGCAGGAAAAGAAGGCTCACCAGCTAGAACAAATCTTCAAGGAGATAGACTCAGGTGTTGACAGTTGGAATTAGGGGCAGAAATGGAGAGTATTGGGGAATATGGCAGGGTACCAATGATTTCTCCTGACTTCTCTGGCTCAGAAAAGAGCCACCATTGGAGACAACAAAGGGGCATGGAGGCTGAGTCAGGAGCAATGGACTAGGTATTGCTGTTGTTACTGCTGCCATCACCTTAGGAATCAGCACAACCTGCCTCGACAATAGGCCTCTAGGTTTGTTTTGAAGCTGAGTTCCTCTCTGGGAGTGGGGCTCTTCACGCACATACGTGACCACCTCTTTTGGGAGCAGAGTGCTTTTCTGAAAAGCTTGTCTGAGATTGACCCCTTTTCAGCTATATTTTTTTCCTCAAAAGCATGGATGTGGCTTCATGTAGAGGACTTCTTGGCAAGGAGTGTGTGGCACCCTGGGAAACAAACAAACAAACAAAAAAACAGAACTCTTATCTTGGCTGTGCTACAGACTGTCTTGTGACCTAAGGCAGGACAGTCTACATCCCTGGATCATCTCTTTTCTATGAACTCAGGGGCTAGACTTAAAAGTCTGTGACTCAAGTGGACACACTAGATTCAGATTCAGTACCATTCATCATGACCTCTTGGCCCAGAGATCCAATTTGACCTAAAACTATCTCACAGATAAGAAACTGAGGTTCAGAGAAGTGGAGGGAACTTGTTGAAGTCTTGTTCAAGGTAAATGATAGAACTGAATTTGAACTTCAGCCTGCCTGACTTCCTGTTCAAGACTCTAATATATTTGAGCCTTTCTTAGATGGGGGAAAAAGAAGTTCCAGAAACTGCGTTGGGCATGCTGTGTGCCTTCGCATCTATTGTCCACTTTCTGCACCTGGCTCTACAATCCAAGAGGCAGAACTCTATGGAAAAGCTGCCCTTCTTGAAAATACAGACACCCCCACAATTTCTCCTTCAGTAGGTCAGGGCTGGGCATTTCTAACAAGTTCTCAGGAGGCCAAGAGAACTCCTCTCCTCTGCTTCTGCTTGGGCTCAGCCAGTCAGAAGTAGAGGAAGAAGACTAGGTGGGAAGACGAGAGCAGGATCCCTTATTCCTTCAACTCCCTCTGTTGGGGAGGTCACTCAGGCTCACACCTGTGGCCAGGCTGGCTCTCTCATTTCTGGGTCCTGGTAAGCCTTCCCTGCAGTATCCTTTGGGGTCTGAGGTCACCTTTGGCTCTAGAGTCCTGAGCTGTCCCTTGAAGGCTCTTCACTCCTAGAGCACACCTTTACGAAGGATCTCTGGGTTATTGCTCCTCAAATTATCCTTTTTGGGATCCCATCTATTTCTTGCCGAGATCACACCTCAGCCTAGAAGGGAGATTCATTTTATGAAATTTTCAGAACTTTCCATCACTCTCTCTTCCTTGGTCCAAGAAGCATTAAAGCTTCCGTGTGGAGAATGCTCTGCATGCTTGAAACCTCCCCCGGCCACAGTGTCTTCCCTGGAGCTACCTGGAAGCAAAGGACTCTTTTTTCTTATTTCCCCTTCACCTCCTTCCCTTTCCCTCCCTTTCCATTTCCTCTCCCTGAAACCATACTGCCTCTATTACTAAGTTCTAAATAGAATCATTTGGAAGAAAGGGGTGATTTTGCCAAGGTTCCCTTTTACTGTTTCATTTGTAGGCAGTGCCTTCCCTCCTGCACTTCCCCTTTAATCTTCTCTGTTCTCTCTGGCTTGGGCCTTTGTCCTCCATTCTGGCCTCTGGGTGCTTTGGGCTCCTTAAGATGCTAATCACACCCGGTTTTCTTCTTGCACCAAGAATATTTCTATTTATCAAGGCACAGCAGGCTTTGCCTTTGGGAGGGACACATACAAGGGCAGGAACACTTTCCATTTCTTAGGGCTGTTTCTCTTTTACCTTTTTTATTTCAATTCCAGGATTTCTTTCTTTCTTTTGGTTCCCTTTATGTTTAATGCTGCTTTCTGAATCTACTGGTTACCTGGCACTGTCTCTTTGCTCCTAGGAACCAGTGCAGACTTGCACTAGCCCTGATTTGTTTCAGCATCACTGACCCTCACATCAGCAAGGAGAGTCAGGTTTACTCAAGCCCATCAGGGTAATATCTTCAAGGTACTGGAATTATCTCTGTCTCCACTTGAATTTCCCCAGGAGTAGGGTGTAACAGGCATTTCAGGGCAGGTGGTTTCTTTAGGCGAGGGGACCATCTTGGGGAAAGCTGAGAAGTGACACAGGAAGAGAAGGCAGCTAAGAAAGGGCTACTGTAGGGCCCTTACTACTGAGTTTGCCCTCAGAGTCCTATCGGGGCAGACCCAACAGCTGGGAGTGAGGCCTCACTGCTGACCCCAGTCCTGCCTCAGATCACCACCCTGCCAGCTGTGAGTTGTTGCACAGTGAGGTCGCTGGCCACGAGGCACGAGAGCTGGGCTCAGCGGTGGAGCTCTGCTTCTCTGCTTTCTCCTTCCTTCCTAGAATCCTGCCTCTCGGGAAGACCTTGCAGAGGGATGGTGTTCTCTTCCTTTTCTCCCTCCTGCATACCATGCCCGACTCTCTTCTTTCTTACTTGAATTTACCCTTCTAAGCGTGGCCTTGCTCTAACCTGCTTCCATCTGTCTTTGCTGAGTGTTCTGTGTCTTATTTTGGAAGCACGAGTCACACTCCACACGGTCCTCTCCACATCCAATTTCTTTTTCATTGGATACCACGTCGTACCAGGTTTGGGGAAATAGAAAAGTAAGATGCTCACAGTCCTCACATCATACAGCGGCTATGGCCGGAGAGAGAGACTGTCACAGGGAGTCATTCAGTTGCATCTCAAGTCGCAATGATGACAAGGACCAAAGGAAAGAAAAGACATACGTTGTAGCTAGGAGTGAATGATGGGGTGACCGCATTTGAGGCATCAGAAGAGTTCTGCGAGGAAGTGGGGACTGGGCTGAGAGCTGAAGAATAAGTGGGCCTTAGGAGAGCAAAGAGAGGAGAGAAGGGCCCTTAGGCAGAGAGAAAAGAACGTACGAAGGCCTGTGTCAAGGAGGGGGCATGGGAGGCTCCAGGGACTGAGTGACAGCCAGTTCAGTTTAAGTGAAGAGGCTGCCATGAAGTGGGCCTGTTGTGATGGGCCTAGAGAGATGGCCGAGGGTCTTGCAATAAATAAGGAGGACTCAAAAGGGAAGAGAAAACATTTGGAGAGCTTCCAGTTTTAAAGAGGTCTTCTGACTTCAGCCAGGGACTTGGGAGGCAGAAAGATAGGACCACACTGGATGGGGAGCAATGGGGAGGCTTAACAAAGTCCAGATAAGAGCTGGGGGTGGCTCAGGGGAGGGCGAGCCGTGGAGACCTGAGGAGCTATGCAGGTTGGCTTCCACTCCTTGGCACGTCTCTCCATAGGCTTTGCCCCAGGGATGTGGCCCAGCCTGCGGGTCCACATCTTGCAGGGAGTAAGGCTCCCTTCACAGGGCCCCATACTTTTTTTTTTTTCCATATCTGTGCAACATCGTTAGGAGGAGGACATTGGGAAACCCATTTTACAGAGACAAAGATGAGCGCCAACACCTATCACCACCTAGCCCATCATTCAGTGTGTCCTACCTGGACTTGGCATTTGTCAGGGAGAAGGAACAAGCGGCTTGATATTTAAGGCACAGTGGGCACTGTGCTTGAGCCAATGATGTTGGGGACCAGTCAGAGCAAGCAGCCACCTGCCCTGGAAACAGGCACTGCATCTCCCTGAGCCCAGCACAAGAAACGTTTGGAGGAAGCCCACACATCATAAATCTTAATACACGTTTGCTGACTGTTTGAATATCTCTTTCCGACAATTCGCTTGCAAGAAATCGTGCTGTCTGCATTACTATCTTCCAGGAGACAAATTATAAATGTTTTCTGATTAGTTTCACCATTCATAGCACATTCCTAAATCAGCACAGGAAACAGCTAAGCTAAAACTTCTGCCTCCTTCTTCCTTTACAATCTGCATGTATCTTATTCTTTCCCTCTCCAAGTTTTTTTCTTAGGCACGTCTAGACACTTAAAACAAAAGAAAACTCCGAATGATGCTAGGAATTGTCATTTACTACCCCTTTTCTCCCCTTTGGCTGCATTACGCGACCCTGAGATCTGAGTGGAAGGACAGCTCCCCAGGCAGGTGGTGAGATGGTGGAAGCTCCAGGTTGGCTACACTGAGTCAGGTAAAGGCTGCTTTGGATCCCGTTTCTCATCACAACACCTACTCAGCAATTTGTCTGAGATAACATTTTCCTGTCTGTATTTAGGTTGCCTCGAAGACTGCACACGCCAATATCCGGTGGTGGCAGTTCTTGGATGCTACCTGTGTTGGTTACTCAGTTCTGTGGTGGTTTGCTTTGCCCCCCTCCTCCCAGAACGGAACAGCAGTCATGCATTAGTGTTTGGTCACTGCCTTTGTTCAGGTTTCTGCCTCCTTTGCTGGGACCACTGTAGTAGTCTTCTGACCCACAGCTGGAAACATCAAGGGCTCTTCGATAACCATTTCAAAGTAAACAATAGCTTCTTGCCACTATGTTCACCAAGCTTGGTGCTTAGGCTCTCCCAGGAGGGTACCTACAAGATATGATGTTCCCATATCGATTCTTATTGCGGTTTTCATCTTCCTTGGCTGTATCCCACGAAGCCGTCTGCCCCTCTGGTAAGGCCTAAAAAGCAAGGGCAGAGTGATTAGGATAGCCAGAGGTGGAAGCTTCATCCACATGCAAATGAAGCAACAGAGAAAAGCAAGAGCCCACGGCAAGGGGATGCTCAGGGTAAAGGGCAGTGTGTCCTTGGAGGGGGCCCGGGAGAACACAGTTTAGGCCTTCCACGGACTCCTCCCTTGCTCTTTTACTCAATTGTTGATGCCTTCTGGGGGCCATTCGTTGACAGGATTTCTAGTAAGGGACTCATTTGTTCATTTGTTCACTTACTCATTCACTCATATTCACAGATATCTTTTGATCCACTAACATGTTCTGGATACTGTTCCAGGTACCAGGAGTACAGAGAAATAGATAAATCCCCTTGAGCACTGGACTGACCGGAAAGTGTAACAAATAAACAAACACAGAGTCACGCATAGGGGAAAGTGCTATGAAGAAAATAAGGCAGAATAAAGGAATAGAGATGAAGAACGGGAATGATGTCAAGTTACGCAGTCTAGGAAGTAACATTTAAGTTCATTCCTTAATGATGTGAAAGAGCTGAGAAATGTAGGAAGCGCTTTCCAAAAGTAGGCAGGTGTGAAGGTGTTCAGGCAGCAACCAAATGGTCACATTCGAGGACAAGAGTGAAGTGGTGGGACTAGTGATGGAAGCCCAAAGAGGAGATGGCAAATACAGATTATGTAAGGCAGTATCCTTTCTGGTTACCAAACTGAATATTATTCCAAGTGTGACAGGAAACCATGAAAAATTTTGAGCAAGGAAGTTACCCAATCTGTTATGCAAAGTGCTTTATGTCTCATGTATGGGATAAGATTTGAAAAAAGCTAGGAAAGAGGACAGAGATCAGACAGGAACTTATTGCAATGTTTTAGGCAAAAGATGGTACCGTAGACCCTGGACCAAAGCAGTGGACACAAGACGAGTGATCGTGATAGTTTCTAGGATGTTCAATATTGGCGGTGTGGGCTGCCTCAGAAGCAAACTGAGAGATACGAGGTTGAGTACAAGTGGTTTATTTGGGATGTGGTCTCAAGGAGCAAGGTTAGGAGGATGAGGGAAGGGAGACGATCAAGGGGAAGCAGGGCACAGCAATGACCAGGTTACCATCGTGCAAAACTGAATCTTAATCCCATGGGCAAGTCTCATAGATTGGAGTTGTCCCATCAGAGATGGGACATGTACCCATCAATTTCTGGTAGAAGACAACTTTTGGGAACTCTCTAGCACTTCTGCCATACCTGTAGGCAGAGCAGGTATATTCTTTTATCTTAAGGATGCTCTCAGGTGAAAACTGCAGTTGCTTACAGTCAGGCGGGCATGAATGCAGAGGGGATATGCACAGGGCAACAACACACCTACCAAGGTCTGTGCATGAAAGAGGAATGAAGACTGACTTCTAGATCATTGCTTATCAATGAAATCAATGGAGAGACATCATTTACCAAAGTATAGAAGTCTGGAGGAGAAACAAGGTTGGAGAGGAAGAAAATGTGTTTGGGTCCAGAAGGTGTTTAGCATTGAATACTGTGTATTTTTTAATGTATCCAAATACACATTTATGTCTCAGGTATAGAATAAGGCTTGAAAAAAGCTAGGAAAGAGGACAGAGATCAATTCAGAACTTATTTCAATGTCACAATAATAACACTAATTATGACAGACAAGTTTGATGCGTCTATTAGGCATTCAAGCTGCAATGCTAAGAAGTTAGAAACAGAGATCTAGAGCCAACGGGAAGGAAGGAGACAAGATTTTCATCAATCAGTGCAAGAGGATGGCACCACAGATAAGACAGACAAGCAAACACACAGTGGGATGATTTCCCAGGGCTACAAGCCAGGTAGTCTTGAACCTGGAGGAACAGTCGGATATTTCATAGAGGGGAAGATGGGCACTGCAGACAGTGGGATAGCTTTAGCAAACGTGCAGAAGCATGGAGATCAGACTATGTTTTGCTGACTCTCTCCATTCTGCTAGTGGAACAGGGTGGATGACTTGCTCGTGGTCCTTGTATTATTTCTGCAGCTGGATTTGCAACAGTTGCAACCTGCATGGCTCTCTGTCCCCAGTGCAGGAAAGGACATTTATGGAACACATCATCCTTGTTATTCCTGTCAATCCCTCACTAGGTCCATCCTAAATCAGGAGGAGTCTTAATCAGATTGGCCAAAGTGTTGCCACTCAGCAGGTCCTACTTCCTGGACAGGCAGGTTTGCCTTGTGGTACAGGCCAGTGCTCATGCTGACATTCAAGCTGATCTTTGGGAGGTGGATTTCCTATCCTAAAGTCTCTGTGACAAAAGCAAACTATCTGTCCCAACATATCCTCTAAAAGTGGTATAAAGCCAAGGACAGGTTACCCTGAATGCTAATTTCTTGGTAAAATGCATAATGCTAAGTACCTGATATGTGCCACAGGCTGGGTTACATTTATCATATTGAGGACATATTGAGGATATACCTTAAGGTTTCTTTATGGCTGTGTATTGGAATTACCTGAGGAGGTTTTAAAACTCCTGAGCCAAGGCCTTATCTCAGATCGGACTCTTTGGAGTGGATCATAGGCATCACTGTGTTTAAAGCTTTCTAGGTGATTCTAATGTGCAGCCGTGACTTTTACAAACAGTGGATTTACCTAGAGAAATACTTTCCCATGAATCTCCTCTTTGGGTTCTCTTGCATTGGGTCCAATCCATTCTCCTCTGTAATCAGAGAGATCTTTCTAAAATGTGAATAGGACCCAGTTATTCTCCTGGTGGATGACTTCGAAACTCTAATAGGAGGCCTTTTATGACTTCATCCTAAATCCTCTTTGTTTATTTTGATATGCAACCTCAAGATGTCTCAAACTTTTTAGATTTTTACACATGGCTCTCTCCTCCTGAAATTCTCTTCCACCTGAATCTGCCTGGAAAACTCCTATGTATCTTTCAAAGCATCTTTTCCTTTGTGAAAAGCTCTCTGTTCACAGTTCCTCTCTGTTTTCTCAGCCTAATAATCGAAATATCTGCCTCTCAACTTAGTCATAAGCTCCTCCAATGGAAAGGGTAGCTTCTTACTTATGATCATATTTTCAGGACCCAGCTGATTCTGTATTTTATGTACCCTGGAATGACCCATTTGGAATGAATAAATGAGCAAAAAAATTAATGAATGAAGTGACTCTGTGCCATCAGAAGGCAAAAGTCCTGGAATCTCAGAGGCATGAGTGACCTTGAGAATCACCTAATTATGTTTCTGTCCACAATGGCCTTCCAGGTAGCTGGTGAGCTGATCCACAGCAGCTATTACTTGGATACCTTCGGTGATGGGTAGGGCACTTCCTCCCAAAGCTTACTGCCTCTTTTTTTGAGCAGACTGACTCGTTTTCTCTTTACTCTGACTCCCTCTGTTCTTCCTTTGTGCCCCTTCGTGAGCCACCCCAGAATGCATATGTACTCTCTGTGCTGTGACCCTGCAGAGATCTATGATCTGCGACTCCCACAGTTCTTAAATAGTCCTCTTAACATCAAGACTATGCCCTTCAGGATACACCCTGAATGCAGCTACTACTGAAAACCCTAAACCTAACACAATAGTTGTGATGAGTGAGTGGCACTTCTCCATGGGAAAGCATCCAAGTACCTGCCACAGCCCCAGGAAGCTGTGTCTCCCCCTAGTGGGGTGAGGAAGACTTTGTGGGCCTGGGGGGCTGTGATGAAGAGGAATGCCTAATAGAGGGCCCAGGAGGGAATGATAATGACCCCATAATTGTCAAGCTTTGATCACACATCTATTTCCCTTTCTAGGGAGCTGTAATCAAATAGGGGATAATCTCCTCAAGGAAAAAAATCTGAGGGGTAAAAGTATGAAAGAGAGACATCTCTATCTTCAAAATGAGTGAGCCAGGGGCATTATTTTTACATTAGTGGCTAGTTACAGTAGATTGACCAGGGAATGGTGGCAGTCATTAGGAGCTAATCACAATCGTTTGAAACCAAAATTGCCATCTCATTATACTCATCCATTATCAATCTTCACTTTTTTCTTTTCATTCTCTTCCCCTTAGAGTGTGGAACTCTATTTTTACATTTTTCTCTCCTAGTGTGGAAATATTTCCTACTCTTTACCAGTGTTGCTTTTCCAAGGTTGTTACTTTTTTATTTTTTTAGGCTAAAGAGGTATTTGGGGATGTCCTTGTATCTGGAGAACTGAGCCATGGTATTCACAGAATCCTCACAGGTCAGATTTGAAAAGATCTTTTAAGAAAATTTTAGCTTATTTTTGTATCAGCACAGTATGGTCTAGAGTCAGAAAATGACCTGCCCCGAGAACGTGTTCTGATAACTTCCCTTCTTCCTTCTCTTCTTTCTTTTCACAGAGACCATCTCAGACCAGGCACTCTGCTAGGCCCTCGAAATACTGGCAAAGGATATGACAGACACAATCTTGAACAGTTCTAGTTGTGGGGAGGGGTGGACAATAAGCAAAGAGGTAATTATTTGCAATGTGTGATCAAGGTAATGAAGAAGGAGCTGGGTAGACAGTGGCTAGGGAAAGGGACTGCTTTCTGAGGTAGGCAGCAGCACCACTGAGCTAAATCCCCAGCCAAGGGGACTACTTTGATAAAGTGGTTCAGGCAGAATTCTTGGAAGGATGACACGTGAGCAAAAAAAAGGTCAGTTCTGGAAATTGGGGAGCTGGCCAGGCCCTCCCAGCTGGGCTTGGTGCCTGCTAAGTACAAATGATCCCACATAACACCAGTATCGGTCAAGGCTGCTCTGAGATCAAGACAGAAGACCAAAGCAAGACCATTCTAGAGTCATAGCTGATGAATGACAAAACTATGAGCACTGCAAACCAAAAAATCTGACCATACATACCCTACCCTGGCTGATATGAGTGACTACTGCCTCTTTGCTAATCAGTGTTGGCTGCCCTCTAGCCTTCTCTTGTGATAGCTAAAATTTGTCAGGATGCCCAGTGACATCACTTCCTGTAGTTTCCAATCTAGAATGA